GAATGGATAATTAATCAAACCAAACCTTGGTTCAAAGTAGAAATTCAGTTATTATTTTCCTACATGTTAATTCTTTGATACAAAGTAAAACTACAGCTCCCACTGAATCTCATTTCCCACTCCAAACATCTTATCTTTTCTCTCCTGTGTTAATTCTTTCATTAATTTCTTTCATGTTCACCCTTTTCCCTTCGGAATGAAGGTTTTTCAACAATCCACGCTTTCATTTGTTTTCTCTCCTGTGAGAATTGTTTTTGTTTCCTCAGATTTTAATTAATTCTAAATCTCTTTCCAAACTCATTCATTTATGTAACTTCTCTTCTCTGTGCATTTTTCCGTGTTGTGATAAAAGCCCTTTTCACATTCCACACATTTGTATGTTTTTTCTCCTGTGTGGTTTCTATGGTGCTGACTGAGATGTCCACTATTAGTAAAACCTTTTACACACTCCAGCCGTTTATAAAGTTTCCCTCCTGAACAGATCCTTTGATGTGAATAAAGGCTTCCACTCTCACTGAAGCTCCTTCCCCACTCCAGGGAAACCATATAAACCATTTATAGGGTTTTTCTCCTCAATGGAGTCTTTGATGTATATAAAGACTTCCCCTGCAAATGAAACTCTTTCCACACTCCAGGCAATTATAGGGTTTTTCTCCTAAATAGATCCTTTGATGTCTATAAAGGCTTCCCCTCTGACTGAAACTCTTTCCACACTCTAGGCAGTTATAGGGTTTTTCTCCTGAATGAATCCTTTGATGTATATAAAGGCTTCCCCTGCGACTGAAACACTTTCCACACTCCAGGCATTTATACGGTTTCTCTCCTGAATGGATTCTTTGATGTGAAAAAAGGTTTCCCCTGTGACGGAAATTCTTTCCACACTCCAAGCAATTATATGGTTTCTCTCCTGAATGTATTCTTTGATGTGTATCAAGACTTTCCTTCAGACTGAAACTCTTTCCACATGCCAGGCATTTATAGGGTTTTTCTCCTGAATGTATTCTTTGATGTGTATAAAGGTTTCCCCTGAGACTGAAACTCTTTCCACACTCCAGGCAGTTATAAGGTCTCTCTCCTGAATGGATTCTTTGATGTGCATAAAGGTTTCTCCTGTGATGGAAACTCTTTCCACACTCCAAGCATTTATAGGGTTTTTCTCCTGAATGGATTCTTTGATGTCTATGAAGGTGTCCCTTCAGACTGAAGCTCTTTCCACACTCCAGGCATTTATAAGGTTTCTCTCCTGAATGGATTCTTTGGTGTGTATAAAAGTTTCCCCTGTGATTGAAACTCTTTCCACACTCCAAGCATTTATATGATTTGTGTCCTGAATGGATTCTTTGATGTGAATAAAGGTTTCTCCTGTGATGGAAACTCTTTCCACACTCCAAACAATTATATGGTTTCTCTCCTGAATGGATTGTTTGATGTGTATCAAGACTTTCCTTCAGACTGAAACTCTTTCCACACTCCAGGCAGATATAAGGTCTCTCTCCTGAATGGATACTTTGATGTG